TCCCAGCAATTTGGGAGGCTAAGGCAGGAGGATCACAGGTTTGAGGCCAGACTCAGCAACTTAATGAGACCCCGTCTTAAAAAAAAAAAAATAAAGGATAAAAGGGATGGGGATATATCTCAGTTGTAGAGCACCCCTGAATTTAATCCTTAGTAACACATACACACGTGAGTGCATGCGCAAACACACACACACACACAAATAAGGATGAAATAAACTTTGGCTCACAGCAAAAACTGGGTATAGTTTCACTGACAAAATACTTCACTCATTATCTAGAGAAAAAAAGCACTTAGGGGTAAAATCAGTCTGCATTTAAAATGTATAAAAAGTTTCCTGCTGCTGTATGTTCTAAGATTTAGATAGGTACCATATAAATGTAAGTATTATGAGATAATATGTTCTTCTCCTTTGATAGAACTTGATGTAAAAAATCATGATAGGATATTTTTAGAACTTTCTTGGCCACTAAATTATTGCTGCTACCATTAGGCAGTTATCATCTACTATATCAAATTTCCTTTTGACCCTGTAAAGTGATTTTTCTAAGTCAAGTTTTAGCTTTAAAAATAAAAACCTGTAAGTAGGGCATTATTTTTTCATCCTGTGGCCATACTATATTCAAAAAAAGAAAAATAAACAACATAAAACTCATTACCTTGGCTGAATCATCAGTGTATTAGTACACATATTCTTCTCAAAAATAACTTGCAAAGGCTGGCTTTCTTGAAAACACACATTATGAGTTCTTTTAATACCTTAAAAAGAACAAAGCGAACTCTTAATCATTTTAAGCACAAGAAAAACAGATTTTTTTGAATCTTTAACTTTGACAGCCCAATAAAATAAAGTAACATTTGCTATATGACAGGTGCTCGAAGTTCGGAGCAGCACTGTTCCTCAATGAAATCTGTTACCGCTCCCTAGTGGACACCAGGCAACATGAAACCGAGGACCAGGGAGGCAGTGGAGAACCCCAAATCCTCTGAAAGACAGTTCCTTAATTTGTAAAACAGTCACCGCCCACTATAGACCATATCTCTTTCAGCTTCTCTTATCCAGATTGATTTTTCAGACAGGACTTTTGGCAGTTAGACCTCCACATCTGGTCTGTGAATTATTTTCCCTTTTGAGGAAAAAGAGAGGTAGCAATATAAGTTGAGTATCCCTTATTCCAAATGCTGAGACCAAAAGTGTTTCAGATTTGGGAGTTTTGGGGATTTTGAAATATTTGCATAAACTTTACAGGTTGAACAACACTAATCTGAAAACTGGATTTCAGACCTCAGCACCCTTCAGATTTCAGATTTCTTGGGTTAGGGATGCTCCTCCAGAATGAGTCTGACCCTCAAATAAATATGCTAGGAAGCACACATTTCACATACATCCTCTGTGATCCTCGCAATATCCCTATAGTGTAGAGGCTTAATCTCAGAAGAGGAAACTGCATCTCAGTGAGGTTACGTGACTTTTCAAGGTGATACAATTTTAACAATTACAATTAAAACTATGAGTCTATTTGCATATAGAACCCATGCAATAAAATCCAGGGGGGCTATAATTTTATAGCATAATAATGTTACACTGAAGCTGGGTATAGTGGCACATGCCTGTAATACTAGTAGTGACTTAGTAAGCTGAGGCAGAAGGATCTCAAGTTTGAGGCCAGCCTCAGCAACTTAGGGAGACCCTGTCTCATAATAAAAAATAAAAAGGACAAGTATGTAGCTCAGTGGTGGAGCACCTCAGTACCAAATAATAATAATAAAATAATGTTACAGTGAGAATCAAAGGGCTCACTAGAAACATTTCTTAACTTATATGTTTGGTGTTTTATTGTTCTTTGTTTTATATTGCTGAATTAATAACAAAACAATATTTATTAACTTAATATTACTGAGTGTGTATCTGGCTGTATTAACCAGCTTTGACTGAATGAGAAAAAATCACTCCAAAATTTAGTAGCTTAAAATAACCAGCACTTGTTACTTCCCACAATTTAGCTGAGGGCTTTTCTGGCCTAGGCTGGGCTTAGCTGTGGTTGGATCACGTAGGATGGCCTTGTTCCCTATCTGGGCCTCAGCAGGAACAAGTGGGAGAGTTGGGACAGGTGAGGCCTCTCCCCACCTAGCCAGGAGTGCTCCAGGAGGCCACACCACACTTGTTCTCATGCTGATGGAAAGGTTCTCAGTGGTGGAAGCTGACAGGCCTCTTGAAGTCCCGGCTTGGAACTCACACAAAATCACTTCTAGTGAGTTCTTCTGGTATCGAAGCAAGTTTCCAGTCAGCCAAGATTCAAAGTGGGGAAACATGCCCCAGCTTGTGAAGAAGAGTCTACAAATAATTGGGGAATTTTTTTTTTGTAATATACCACATAGGGATGATTTTTAGAAGCTGGAAATATCAGAGAACAAATCAGACAAAAGTCTTTGTCCTCACAGTTTACATTCTAGTAAGGGAGACTGACAATAAGAACATAAATGTGTAAAATAATAGGCTGTGGAGGGGGACATGCACCCCCAGAAAGAAGTACACCACGGCTTTTGAATCCTGGACAAACTTACGAGTCAATTCTAAGATCTTTGCTTTTGCCCTGAGCAAAATCGGGAGCTATTTGAGAATTTTGAGTTTGAATGATATAATCTGACCTATATTAAATGGTGGCTTTTTTAGGAAGGCACAAAGCTCAAAAACTAACATCTCTTACCTGTTTTTTAAAATATTTTCTTGTCACTTATGGCGAGATGATAATAGGTACATGTAGAATCAAAGTCAAAGATAACAAAGAACAGCCAGTGAAAAGGAAGTTGCCCTCCCCTGGTTCCTGCCTTGGCCCCCACAGAAGCCACTACCATCACCATGTCTTAGGTAGTCTTGAGAAATAGCCCATGCGTATCAAACACCTTCTTACCCACAGAGCATTTGGATCAAGTGAACACTGGTGTTGCAGAGGGCTCAGGCTGAGGAGTGTCTTTTTCGCTATCCCTGAGGCTACCTTTTCCTCTACTTCCTTCCTTTCCCTTTTCCTTATGAAAGGCCCTGAATGTTCTCAACCTACCCCTTGGCTCATACTGCTTCCTCCTTCCACTGCCACCTGCTGGAAACTTGCCAAATGAGACATCACTAGCCAGAAAATCTTTCCACCTTGCCTCTCACCCAAAGAATATTCCACTACATCCTTTTAGAAACAATTTGGCTTCACTGCACTAGTTCTTTTAGTCTAATACTAATTCTCCTTCATAGAATGCAAATGAGATAAAAATTTTAAAATTTGTTTTCTCTCTAGGTCACTTATTAACTTTAGTACACTACAAAGTACTGTACTATAATAAGGTGTGGAGTTTTCACCAGAATTTACTTCCTTCATCAAGAAAATCTTACTATTAGGGGCTGAGGTTGTGGCTTAGTGATGGAGCACTTGCCTGGCACATGTGAGACACTGGGTTCAATCCTCAGCACCACATTAAAGAAAAAGGGCTGGAGATGGGGCTTAGTGGTTAAGTGCCCCTGAGTTCAATCCAAAAAAAAAAAAAAAAGTCTTAACTATTAAGCCAGGCAATGCCAGGTACTGGCAGGGGCTAGTGGAGGTTGTGGCAGGAGGATCTCAGTTCAAGGTCAGCCTGGGAATTTGGTGTGACCCTGTCTCAAAATAAAAAACAAAAGGGATGGGAACATAGCTTAATAGTAGAGTACTTACCTAGCATGTGTGATATTGACTCAATCCTCAATATGCCCCCCATATCACACACACACACACACACACACACACACCATCTTACTATTAAAAAAAAAGCCAGGCACTGTGGCATGCACCTGTCTCAGTCTACTTGGAAGACTAAGGCAGGAGGATTGCTTAAGAACAGGAGTTTGAGCAACATTGTAAGTCCCCATCTCTTTAAAAACAACAATCAAACAAACAACAGCTAAACTAAAGAGAAGATTTAGTAATGTATTTGTCTTAAATTCTGACATAAGCTCATTATTAGGCCATGAACTCAGACCAGTTACAGATAATTTGGACCACTTTAAAGACCAGTGCTCCTGTCCATGGGTACTTGATCCTATGCTGGAGTTCTTGCTACTCCATAAGCTCAACTTAGAACTTCTCTCAATGGATCCAGAGAACTCTCTGAACCTGACACAGTACAGCTAAGGACCAACCGTTATGATAGAGATGTTATATTTGTGGAGTTTGGAATTTCAGAGGACAATCTGGAACACCTTTGAATCTAGTAAGTTATTCAAATGTTTTTTTTTTTCTTTAAAATCATTTTGAGTCATTAGTACACTTGGAGAGTACCCTTTGAGGAAAGCTTAAGACTTTGAGTCCAGCCCTTTGTACTTCACTTCAGTAATATACATGCAGATTTTATTTTCCCTCAACTAAAAAAAAAAAAAAAAAAGTACATTCTCTTTTGGAAGCCCCTCTCTACTGGAGAGGGGGGGAGGGGGGGAGGGGGGGAGGGGGAGGGGGAGGGGGGAGGGGGGGAGGGGGGAGGGGGAGGGGGGGAGGGGGGAGGGGGGAGGGGGGGGGAGGGGGGAGGGGGGAGGGGGGGAGGGGGAGGGGGAGGGGAGGGGGGAGGGGGGAGGGGGGAGGGGAGGGGGAGGGGGGGAGGGGGGAGGGGGAGGGGGAGGGGGAGGGGGGGGGGGAGGGGGGAGGGGGAGGGGGGGAGGGGGAACAAAAATTTAAACCACTTTGAACACCTACCATGCCTGCAGAAGAACTGAATAACTATTTTGCATTCATCAGAGCTGGTGAACATTTTGCACTTTTCTACATTTCTTTCGAGAGAAGTTAGACATCTAAAGATGGGTAGAATTGACTGTAACACAAACACATTATACATATTAAGAACATACCTAATATGGTTGTTTTATCTGTTTCTTTAAAACTAACAAGGATGTATGTAATATTCATAAATAAGCAGAATTGTCCTGCATGCCATCTGAATTACCAAGTATCCTTTATTTATTTTTTTTTTTAAATATTTATTTTTTAGTTTTCGGCGGACACAACATCTTTGTTTGTATGTGGTCCTGAGGATCGAACCTGGGCCGCACACATGCCAGGCGAGCGCGCTACCGCTTGAGCCACATCCCCAGCCCACCAAGTATCCTTTATAATAAATATTTCTCCAATGCAAGAGAAACCCAGGGCTACTTATATTTACCTTCATTCCCAATTTGCATTTTAAATTCAATGCTCTGTCATTATCATTCATTTTCATTGAGGTTGACCATTGATAATGTTGAAAAAATACAGGAGAGAACAGGACACATCCATATGCTGATCGAGAAGAATTCATTGATCTTAGAGCAAGCTGGGAAAAATAAGAGAGCTATTTAGGAGAAAACCAACTTTCTTTAAGTGATAGTTGAATACTTAAATTCAATTATGTTTAATATCCTAGTTAAATAAGTTCAATTATAACACCATGAAATGTTAACTATACACCATTCAGTGTATATTGAATTTGCATATGTACATACATATGTGTATGTATCTATATTAAATTGAAAATGAAAATGCCCACAGGAGAATTGAAAATGCCCACAGGGGCTTTAACTTTAATGGATGAAGTGGCAGAAGGTGATATAAAAAGGAGTTATAGTAAATTGGTGGTCTCATACCTCAACTAAGGGAGAAAACCATTACTTGGTTTTGGTTAACTAATTCCATTTGTGATTGTAAGCCCAAAATTGTCAGATCTTTTAATTTTATTTATTTGTTTGCATTACAATCCCAGTCCTGGGTCTTTTACATTTTAAAAAGAAGCAGGAAATTCAGATATTTATGTGGACTCTCACAATTTTTAAATGTTAGAAATTATTTCAATTTTTGAGGGAGTATGCTGGAATTGAATCCAGTGCCTTGTGCATGAAAAACATACATTCTACCACTGAACTACATCTCTAGACCCTCCATGAAAAACCAAAAAAAAAAAAAAAAGGTGTAGGTCTCACAGAATATTTCTACAGGCCTCATCTAGTCTCTTGATCACCAGTGTATGACTCCTGACTTGAATAAATTATGTTTTTCTGCATGATTTCAAGTTTCCTGTGCTCTAAGTATACCGAGATATATAAAATAAAGATGAACAATGAAAGGGATAACTGATAATTTCTGAATTTCCTGGTTCCATTCAATCTGGACTAGGATCTTTAAACATTTCTGTCTTACTTCATGATCTGTTACTTCAGATTCTTATTTATTTTACCAGAGAAAAATCTAAATAAACCCTCCAGATTCTCTTGCTCTTAGTTGAGTTTTTAAAAAAATCACTGATTTTGGAGATCACAGAGATGGAAATAAATTATTAGCCTCCCCAAAGCTAATAAATGATTAGCCTCCATTAGCTTTGGGGTAGATATCATCTCTGACATGTGAGTTATGCTGATAGGTTGTATAGGTTACTTTCAGGAACTTGAAGGCCACTTTTGCTGAAAACATTGACTCTTCACTTGAGCCTGCTTATGTCCAATGGAATAGGATGAAAAGACTCTGGCCTCTCTGCCTCCAAATTGTGTCTTTCTCCTTTGCTGCCTTAACCTTGGATCAGGTTTTCACTCAGCTCTGCATGTAGACATGTCGTTCACTTGAGAAATGTTTTGCCCAAAACTATGACGCAGGATTAACTAGACTTGTGTAGCCTCTTTCCTCCCACTTCAAGGCTAAAGACACACCATCACCAGAAACACCAGACCATAACTGAAGTAAAAAGAGGTGGTACCCCAAGTTCCTGGAAGATTTCTACCTGTTCCCAGAAAAGATATGAATTTTCTTCCTTTTATTAGCCTCTCTCCCTCATTATTCCTGTCCTATATCCAAAACTTCTAAAGCCCCTGGAGTTGAGAAGTTGATGTGCCAGCAGAGCACCCTCTTGCCCCATTCTTGGACATTAAATAAAGCCTTTCTTTCTCCCCAACTCGTTTCTGGGACATTGGTTTTTCTGTGGGATGAGCTTCACTTTGGTAACACTTACACCTTTTTCAGATGGGTCTAGCCACAGCTCATCATTCACTCGGGATAAAGCCTGGATTGCTTTCCCAAACACTATGGAGAAAAAGAAAAGCACTGTTTACATTCCTTCTCTCTAAAAACAAAAACAAACCACAGGGCTACTTCATCAAGCAGAGGACTCAAGATAAATTCATAAAGATCAGTGGAATCTACTGAACAATTTGTTCCTGCAGGTCAAATTATTTAACAGATTCTTCAATTGAACAATTCTTCCCTGCCCTATGGGTCTAATTCCTAGAGAGAGAAATGGAGGCTTTTGGTTTTGTAGATAATACACATCAACCAACTATTGGTAATATGGAAATAGTTGGCAACGATTCTACCCACACTTTGTTGCCTAGTTTGCAACACATAGTTCAGCCTGGTTCTACCATTCATTCTAATTCATGGACTGTATAGACGGTAATAACATTCAGCTTTTCCTTGGCTTCCAATAAACTCAAGTTAGCCATAATGATCTCAACTTCTGTTTCATGTCAAGTCCTATCAGAACAAATGAAAACCAAAGTGCAAGATCACAAAAGGGGTTTATTGCAATACGTTGGATTCATCTTTGACTGAATTTTTGTGGTATGATTGACCTGGAAATAATGCTTTTGAATTCCTTCTCCTGCATATATTGGAACAATTTCCTTAATCAAAATAGGATGTTTTGACTTTTGGTTTTTGCATGTTTTATACAAATATCTAGGGACAAATTCTTTAATTAAATATATCTAATAGACAAATTGTTCAACTGATCCATACAGCATTTTCTAGACTAATGACACATTGCTTTAAGAAATACAGTATAATGCCTTTGGCAAAATGCCATCACATAGTAGGAGCTCAATAAATTTGCAGAATGAGTGTATAAAATTCAATGACATTCTTTCTTCTATATGTCTGCAGTATTGTGTGGAGCTGTTGTGGCAAGGAAATTTCCATACTATTAATTTTTTCAACTTGGTTTAAATAAATCTATTTGCAAAAAATATATGGAAAAAGGGCATGGAGAGGATGATTTTAAATGTTTTAATAACTCCACAGCTGGTCATGTCAAAAAGCATCACGAGAGGGGCTAGGGCTGTGGCTCAGCAGTAGAGTGCTCACCTAGTATATGTGAGGTGCTGGGTTTGATACTCAGCACCACATAAAAATGAATAAATAAATAAAATAAAGGTATCGTGTCTAACTACAATTAAATTTTTTTAAAAAAATGCATTTGCATTACGAGAGAGAAATTAAGAGTATTCATCTCTGCTTGAGATTAGCCTGGGAAATACCAGATTTTAGCATAGAAGATGTCAGACTTTCCCATCAAACACACTTACATGTCTTGTTAGAAAGAGAGGCTAGGGCTGGATGAAATATTGATCTGGCTTGGGTTAATACCATTAATGTTCTTATGAATTATGAATAAGTAAAAACCATCCAAATAGACAGAGGAAACTATGCTGTAATATAAATGAATGGACCTATCAATCTACTGAAGAACATAAAAAAGAAATAACAATCCCAGAATTCAGATTGCAATGCTAAAGAATCACAAGTGTGCAAACTACGAAAGATGGGATGACCTAAATAAATAAATAATTTTAAAAAAGGCATGTGTCTCTTCACATTTGCTTCCTGGATTGCCTGATGCAGACCTTTCATTCACCCAATGAATGTCTATTGATCACCTACTAGACTCCAAATACAGCCCAATGCACCGGGGTACAGTAATGAACAAGACAAGTATAGTTCCTGCCCTCATCACATTTACAGTCTAGGAAGGAAAGCAAAATTAAATAATCACAGAAAATTGGCTATTGTTGGGCTGGGGTTGTGGCTCAGTGGTAGAGTGCTTGCCTAGCATGTGTGAGGCACTGAGTTTGATTCTCAGCACCACATATAAATAAAGATTCCTGACAACTAAAAAATAAAGAAGGTGCACACTGCTAAAGACAATTTCCTAGTACTCTGGGAACAAGTAACAATGGGGGGACTTGTACTTCCCTTTCCTGCTCATTATTATTTTCCTATATTTGTCTTCAACACAAATGAAGCCAGTCACAATACAAGATAGTTTTCAATGACCATTTTCAGGCTACAATTTATAGAAAGCCACTGCTTTTCTAAATGCTTTCTGTATTAACTTCCATTTTAAAAGGGCCATATACAATGAAGAGCAGTTCCATACATTCCCTTATGTTTATATTAATTTCTATTTCATGCCTACAACAAACCCTATTAATGAAAGTGCTGTTCTAAAGTGCTGCTAAGGTTCCCATTTTACAGATGAGGAAACTGAGACCCAAGGTGATTTAGTGGTTTTAAAATCGCACAATCTGCTGGGCATGGTAATCCCAGCGATTTGGAAGGCTGAGGCAGGAGGATCACAAGTTCAAAGCCAGCCTCAGCAACAGCTAGGTGCTAAGCAACTCTGTGAGACCCTGTCTCTTATAAAAAATAAAAGGGATGGGGATGTGGCTCCGTGGTAGAGTGCTGGGTTCAATCCCCAGTACCAAAAAAAAAGATTGAATCTGTGCAAAAAATCAGGCTTATTTGTTTTCTGGGCACTAAAATACTTTGTCCACACATTATTTTTTCCCCACTCCTCCCCACACGCTGCGCAGTACTGAACACTAAGCCTCAACCGAGAGGGGCCTTCATCCTGCCGTCAGAAGCCCCCAGGGCCCTCGTGGGGACAGGCAGTGGTCAGGACGCGACTTCAGCGCTGGCGCACAAAGGCAAAGGGGAAGAATGAGGCGACAGATGAAGGCACGTCATTGGCTTTTTAGACTTTTCCTCTTCTACATAGGGAGGCAAAAAAGGCTGCTCCACCTTTCACCTGACTGCCATTCATCCCGCACTTCAGCATGGCTGCGGTTGCTGAAAGGCAGGGTTGGAAGGCGCACGTTAGCTTGCTGGCCCCAAATGCCCGGATGTTGCCCGCGTTTTTCGAAGCTACGCCTCAATTCCTCCCACTCTCACTCCGCCTCCACTAATTCTCAAAGCACAGGTTCGCTTTCCGGCGGTAAAAGGACTGTGCGGGTCCCCGTAGGGCCGTCTCCAGTCGACCTCGTTTTTCATTGGTTGAGGGGAAAGTGGGTGGGTCACCGAGGAACCTGAGGAAGAGGGCGGCTGCTGTTCTGGTGACTGAGCGGAGCCCGGTGACAGGATGGTGAGGACCGACGCTGGCGACCGAGGCCCGGCTGTCGGCGGGGTTGCTGCATCGTTGGGAGCCGTGGGGGATTTCAGGGCGAGGGCTGGGCCATCCCGGAGGCGTTGGCGAGCGCGGCCGAAGCGCCGGCCTGGGGAAGGCCCAGGATGAGGGCTAGGAAAGGAAGGGAGCGGCCACCTCTGGGTGCGGGCGGCGCTGGCCTCGCCCCTTGGCCCCAGGGGCCAGAGGATGTCCGCGGGTGGACAGGGCCTCAGCTGCCTGCCCTGTCACGAGTTCGGCACGCTGGAGTGGGGAGGGCCTTGGGGCCTGCACCTCCAGCGGCCCCCTGCGCTCCCAGGCGTGCCCTGCTCCTTTCCATCTGGTTGGGGTGTGCTGGCCGCCACCCTGTGTGGCGAAAGCTGGCCTCTCAATGCCTAGCGGGAAGTTATCTCCGCAGAACTCACTGGCCGTTCAAGTTTGCCATGAAGGCAAAGGGAGCGAGAGCCGATCTCTCCGCCCCTGGAATGACGCGCAGCTGCCTTTGCTCTCCGAAGGCAGCGCCTGGCGCGAATTTCTAGAGCAGGATTCCCTGATGGGTGTGTGAATTCCATGAAATTATTTGGAAAATTTTGTGGACATATGCTTTTGGGGTGGGGGAGAGAGCCATAGTTGACGCCAAGGGGTATTTTAGGGAGCTTTACCGCATTCCTGCATCGTATTTCCCCATGATTCCCCAGCCAGCTTCAGGCTGTCCCCCCCTCACCCCCATAGGTTGCTAACCTTAAAACCCAACTACAGGGGCTGGGCTGTGGCTCATTGGTAGAGCACTTTCCCACTTTAATCCCACTTTCCTAGCACGTGTGAGGCACTGGGTTCGATCCTCAGAACCGCATTATAAAAAGATATCACGTCCATCTACAACGAAAAAACAAACAAAACACCAAACTACATAAAAACTGGGGAGCTGCTGCTGTAGAGGGTTCATAATTGTAATCAGATTTTCTAAAGTGTCTTTGGCCCTCTAAAATGTCAACTGTTGGCAGAGGAGCTCTGATATTCTTGATGTTTGTGTTGGTGGAGTTTAACTGGAGGAACTTCTCTCTGATCATTACATTTTTCATACTGTTACTATTCTATAACAAATAGTACCTTTCAAAAGGTGGTTTATAAGGTGACAGTCTAAAATTTGAATTGTATAATTGTGTCTTTAAAGGCTTTAATCCTGGCCTGGTGTGGTGGTGCATGCCTGTAATCCCAGGGGTTTGATGGCAAATTCGAGGCAGCCTTGGAAATTTAGATAGACCCTGTCTCAATATAAAAAAATAAAAAGGGCTGGAGGTGTAGCTCACTCGTAGGGAGCCCTGGGTTCAACCTCCAGTACCAAAAATATGTAATGATAATATTATTATTGTTATTAACAAAGGCTTTTTGCTTCTAAACAGACTCCAATTTACAGTAATGTTGAGACATTATCCAAGGGAGAAGAAATACTTCCCAGCCATGATTCCAAATTCATGTTTCAGAAGTTGTTTAGAAAGGTGAACACTTTTGGGGGGTAGATGGACTTTTCATATGAAAAAGAAAGAACTGAACAAAATTTATCATCAGCTAATTCTGTTATGAGTAAAAACATTTTATTTGGCAAAGAATTTTAGAGACATTTAGCACTGTACAGTGCCCAGAGTCTGTGGGCAGCAAATTTAGATACCAGGAAGGTCCAATTTTAACTGGATTAATGTGTCTGTCTTTATTATCTTTGT